TCACCTTGCTAAGAAAAATTTTGCGTTGCACACATAGAGATAAAGAGAGAAAGAGGGAAGTTTCGTTCATTTCATCTCCCTCTAATTTCCGGCGATTTCCGGCGAGTGTGAGTTCTAGATAAACTAATTAAACACGGCCAACATAGTATCTTGCAGGCGATTTACACAAACATTGGACAACGGTTCACCCAAACGCAGTCTACTTGCAAGGTTTGAATTTTTAGTTCAAAAATAGATTTTGTTTATAAATATTCCATCTAAGTTTGTTTATAATTTATAAAGTTTTTTTTAATTTTAAGATGTGCATCTAATTTCAATTTTTAGATCTGATTGTGAATACTGTGCAGATTCAGATTTCTTAAGTTTTGTAATACTATTTTCTGTTGATTTAAAGATTTTTTGTTCAATTAAGTCTTTTTCAATTTTAACGCAAAGTGTTAAATGACTTATGTTTACGTTTATAATTTTTTTTATTCAGAATGTTTAAACAAAACTTATGATGAACTTGGAATTACTTTGTTCACTTTTTTGTTTACTTTTAGACGTTTTAGTATTAACAAAGTGTAACTATTAATCTGATTTTAGGCTTTTTTGGTTGATATAGGTTTTCTTTTCTGTAATAAATAATCGTTGTTAACAGTTGTTTTTATTTTTTTAGAGCAGGAAAAGATTTATCTCATCAAAGAGAAGCTGTTAAAAATAAATGTATTTGTTGGTTCAGGTAATTTTTTTTGCCAGTAAATGTGTTATCCCTATTTACATGTTTTTTTCTTTCTTTACAGCATTGTATGTTTTCTTTGGTTTTCAATTTAGCCACTACATTGCAATAGGTATAAGAAAACTTGTGAATCATATAGAACTTAACAAAGCTTATTTTTTAAAACATACCTTTTCAACGGCCAATGGAATTTTAATTTTGGGTTGTTGATGGGTTGATTCCTAATTCTGTCCTAAACTGCATTTAAAGCATAAATGCCAAATGTAAGTGTTATACTTGTTCTTTTCATTTTACAATATAATGAAAGTAGTCCCGTCCTTTACACTTCATATATTTCTATACAATTTGTTTATCTAAATGTGATATGGTAGAAAAAATATAAACATATTCAAGTAACTTGGCTTACGAACAAACAATGTGATTTGTCTAAACTGAATAACAAAGATAGGTACATATTCACATGAAAAACGTTCATCATGCGTCAAATATTTAACTAATAAATTAACATGAGTACTTAGGTTGAAATATGAGACTGAAATAAGGTAAATATGTGCAGAGCACACTTCTTCATACTTAAATAAAACACTGGTAAGGATGTAAACATGTCCCAACTTGATTTCAAACTTTCTCAATCTTGACACTCACTTTAGGCTTCTTTGTTAACTGCATTCCCACATCATCAAGTTCATTGTTGAGGTCTCTTTTGGTATTTGTAGTTAGAGTACATGTAGTTGCATCCTTATCAATTGTGGTAGCAGAATCTTCTTTAGACTTGTCTGCACATGCATCCAAATTAACAGTATCTAACTTGGTTTTGGGAGCTTTAATACGCACAGAACCTTGAAAAAAGCAAGTATTTATCATTTTTTGGGTATGACATAAAACATATCTACCGACTGTAAAGCGTTCCAAAACTTTGTCATCACTTATAATTTGATGGACAGAAAAGGCCTGTTCAAAAGAGTTTGTTCCTGTTTTCTTGACTTCCAGTTCAATCATAAGTGGTCTGTTTATCACATCATTAAACTGTAATGGGAGTTCAAGATCATCACCCTAGAAAAAGAAAAGGCTAGAATCTGAGTATATTTTTTTATACACTTAGAATGTGAGTATAAAATAGAGACCACTAAACATCAATAGGCTTTAAACTTAGAATGTGAGTATAAAATAGAGACCACTCTTTCCTATTCTTTGTGGCTTACAGTTTCATTTAAGAAAACCTCTGCCTGCTTCCCAAATAGCAGTATGCAGTGATTATCCCACAAAATCAACGGTAGATTGGAAGTATCATCCAGTACTCGCACTTTCAAGCGATACCTACAACAATAATTTATTAAGAAGAGAAATGGTACTTAGGTTTCATTATTATTTAGTAATATTGATTAAATATCTTGTCAATACCTCAAAAAAAATCCAGATTTGTTGCAAGAGCCACAAGAATGCATTCCATTGATGGAGATAAGTTTCCTATAGCAGTGTTTGCAAGATGTATAGCACCAAGGTCCATAATGTTCAAAGGAAACAATTTTACACATCACCCAAGCACAGCCTCGCTGAGTACAATAAAAATTCAAAATAATAATCAAATGGTGAAATACATATAAATCAATATTGAATTCTGTAAGTAGACTTGCATGGTATTAGATGATATGCATTTTTTTCAAGTCTGGAGTTATCTTTAAAATGAAAACTTTTTATAAGATTATATTAAATATTTTGTTGTCTTTTTTTAAAGGTGTGTTAGCCTTTGAATCTGCAAAACAGTTAACTCAACTTTAGGAAAAGAGTCATCTTCCACAACAGTTACAATGGTATCCTTAACCAATGTAAGTTTGTACTTACGGTCCATCAACCATTGAGTATTTTTTGAGACAAATATATTTTGTATGCTATGACCCTCCTTTAGCAGCGGCTTAAAGCGTGAAATCAATGGCTTTTCACAAGAAGCATGCATACGATTTCCCTATTGTCATAGAGGAAAATTGGAATGAGTCTTGGATGAAAAGAATGTGAAAAAAACAAAATGTGAAAGAGAAAGTGAGAGAACAATATTAATAATGTGAAAAAACAGTGTTTTACAAATTAAACCTGGTCATCTTGGAATATAGCTTCATGGGCATAAAATGTGTTCTCACTATTCTTTCTTGCCTTAAGATCGTAAAGGCTTAAGAGTCTTAATTTGACAGCATCGTGATGGCGCGCGGGATGAAGTCTGTTCAGTGAAACTCAGGATGGAGCCGCCATTTTTCGAAGTTATGAATTTGTTTTCTTGTCCAGAAGATTGGCAAAGATAGGTACATGCATATATATTGGATTTGGGAGTTTATGGGAAGAAGTGGTGGGATGGCAGTTTCTGGAAGATGGGATGAAACTACTGCTGGTGGTGGCAGTTTGCGAAGATGGGAGCGTAGGAATCGCCGCATATATTTGTTTCGTTGTCTAACCTGTCATCCTAAATCAATGGCTAAGATCAGTTATTAATAGTGTCTAATTGAAATTAGGCCGTTGATTGGAATGAATGATCTTGATTTCAATTGGTTTTCTAATACTAAAATTGGGCCGTAGATGTTGATTTTGGCGGGTAAATTGGACAGGGCTTTCTTATTGTGCTTTCATACTAGATTCTAACCCGTGCGATGCACGGGATGAAGATTTACTAAATTATGATTTATTAATATTAGAAAAAATAAATAAGTTAAAATGTAATTAGATGAATAGCTATGGGAATGGATTGTTTGCTTGAAGCATATGAATGCAGGTATATCCAGTCATCTCTACATTTTATTTGCCTTTTCTTTATGGTATGATTGAGCTTTTGTGCGTCTAACGGAATTGATGGGGTTGGATTCATTCTACTCTTTTTTGTTGTTTTACGTTGTTTGAATGGGCTCACACCCTAAATAGGCGATGCATGATACGAACATTTGACTAATCAAAAAATAATTAATAAATTTTATAATATAGATAAATTGAATTGAAATAAAGATTTATAAAAAATTATCAAATGAATTTATATGATAGATAACAATTTGAATAAAAATTTGAGTTACACGTCAATATGGAGACTGGAGTATGCTATAAAATAACAAATATCCTTCTACTTTTTCTAGTATTTTAATAAATTTACCAAAACACTTAGTGACTAACATTTAGCTTAATTAGTGTTTACATATGTAATACGTGTTGAAAATGTGAAATGAACAATTAATTGAGAATTTAATAAAATCATGAATTCTTGAGTGTAATAACAATGTTTTTCCTTTTTTTGCAAACAAAAGAAGTTTTATTAAGTAAAAAACAAAAAAAGTCCAATCAAGAGTATAGTAAAAAGACACCAAGTCCCCGAAAAGAAAAAAGCTTTGGGAGTTGGGTCTATGTAGAATAACCTGCAAGTAATGAAAGAAACTATGGCCGGAATCAAGTTTTATGTGAATAAAAACTGAGGGCAAGGAGGAAAATATTAAATAGAAGGTGAATGAAACTAAGGGCGAAAGTAAATAGTTATTTGTAATCTTGCTCAAACCAAACTTATAGTCTTGCATTCCCAAACATTTCATATCGTGCATTATAATTTGACTTCTGCGAGTATCTTTTTTTCATGAGTTGTTTAGAAGTGTCAAAATAACAATAAAATAAGAGTTTACTTTCTCACATTCTACTTGTGTCCATATACGAATAATAAGCATATATTCTACTCGTATAAACTTACATACTTAAAATATGTAGTGAAGTGCTTGGCGCAAAGTCATCTCCTTAGAGTTGCATTGTGGTGTTAGCATTGAACATTAATGGTCCAAATCATACAATTAAATACTACACACTTATGAAACACATAAGAGCACCTCTTTTCATCAGAAAGCATACTTCTCAAATGACTTAATCTTTGCTTCACAAAAAAAAGTTTAACTTTGACACATCTTCATTGGGCAAAATAGATACAGAAGCAATATATCTTAAATAAATGCATAAATACTCTTTTTATGAGATGTCACCATCTCACTCCCAAATTCAAAGAGCACTATCTTTTTGAATATAAAACCTTAAAATTTTTAAAGATGACATGTAAAAAGCTAAACCGTGGTTTTATGATCCACGTGATTTTTCATTGTTGGGACTCAATACAACCAATTTTTTTAGATAGACAAAAATTTACCCTTGATTTAGTTCCACAACAAAATGATTAGCGCTCATGGTTTGCAATCTCATATTCAAATGATAAAAGAGACTAAAAAATATTTTAAATGATATGAAAGAGATACAGCCATACAGGTGTTGTTTGTCCTATTACAGTGACTTGAGAAGAAAAGGCATGATGATGGCAAATCAAACTACATGTTCTCTCCAAAATTAACAAAAACCAAAACTATTATGAAGTAACACCAACCATTTCAAATGCTAACAACAACAATGATAATACAAATAATAATTCAAGAAATGAGCATGTAAGCTATTATATGGCATTAAATGATGAGTCACCATTAATTGTTAAACTTAAAGATAGTCACCAACATGTTGATCCTTCAATTAGCCGCCTAGTTTCACATCTTCTTTGCACAGGCCAGTGTGAGACCTTAAAGGCATATTGATGAGAATCAATTTTTTTAATCCCCTTACTTCTATCTTGATCCTGCACCTGTAGGTAGATTAGTTTTAATTCCAACCAACCATTTTAATATATAGTTCCAAGTTAAATAGATATCCTCTCGAGCCCCATAAAAAGAGTTATGTTTTTGTGCTTATATTGTACCGAGTAACAAAAAGAATCCGATTTGAACTAAAGAAGCTAATTCTTAACATAATTCATGTTTATGATATGCAAGTAAAAGTCAACACATGTTAAGCATTCTTCTTAATGATCTAGAACACCTACTAAAACACACAGAATCATAACTTCGATACCTGCCATGATTTCTCCACAATTCATTCTTTAAGGACTTGTTTTTCTCCTCTTCGTGCATGTTTTGCTGTAAAAAAAAATCATGTGAAAAGTAAAACATCATACTTCCGCCTCAAATGACCTCATGTTTCTAGGGAGGGTATTTTACAACATTCTGTAAACTTCAAAAGCTTGATGAATTATTAGTCTTTTAAAATTATTTAGAATATGAACTAATACTTTTACACATTAATTTATAGAGCATTCAATAATTTAATACTCCCTAGTATTCAAACTGGAAAAATGTTTAAAGACTCGAAGATAAACATTCGTGAACTTTTTTGCTAATGCTACAAATACATGAAATCAATTTAGGAAAATTTACAGTTTGTGTAGATTTCTATTGGGAGAGGTATAAAATGTAAACTATATTGTTATAAGATTAAGTAAAACCTTGGGCTGAGATTGTAAATAACTGATGAAGTTGCCGGTCGTCATAGGATGAGATCCAGGTGAAGTAGAGAATCTTGCTGATGAACACAGTGCAAGTGGGGGAACAAAGCCGCCGGCTGCTGCGAAGTGGGAAGTTCACGGTAGCGGCGCAAGTACTGCATAGGTTCAGCGAGAAAAGTATCAGCGGCTCGGCCTTGTCCGTTCCTCACTTCTGCCATCTCTTTTTTCCTGAGCCGTCCTCTTCGAATTGAATTTGCTAGTCTTCTCCGTTTCATCTCCCTGCCCCCTCTTCTTCAAATTCTACATCAATACTGTGTGTGTAGATAGATCTTTTCCTCAAAAAAAAAAGAAGATATAGATCTTAATTAAGAACATCTTCAAATTCTACATCGACAATTTGTAAATTTTGAAAAGGTGAGAGGCTAGGACTTTCGGTTTTTAACACATGATGTGGGGTGAACGGGTGAAGAACTGTCAAAATATTAATTAGGGCTGAAACTGACGCCTTACCAACCGTCCAAACTTTAAGCCGGAACTTTTTCTTGCATATAGGTAGATATACTAGATTTTACCCGTCCCTTGCACGTAGGTTTTTCGTTTTAAAAAATGTCTCAAGCTCACTTCATAAAATAAATATCCTAAATCAAGATTCTAATATGGGTTGTAAAAATATAAGCTTTCACCCGTGCAATGCACAGTAAAAGTATTAATTCCTCCATCAAAAATGGAATTACACTTTTCATTATTTAAAAGTCACGGAAACTATTATTTATTTGTGTATTTTGATTAATTATTTGTTAAAATAAAATATTTTTATCACTTTTAGTTTTGTGAAAATTTTGGCATAGTTTTAAAATATGTAAATTTTATTTTTAATTTGTACAGTAATCTCTAAATAAAAGAATTCAAAAAATTTGAAAATTTATTTCATTTTGCATAAAGTGTAAAACATTTTAAGACAGAAAGAATATCATAACAAACACAAAATGTAGAGGTTCGTGAACTTCCTCAACATCCCATGAATGCATTCAAAAGGAATGATGATCATAAACCAAAATATAAAGAAATCATGCCCAACAAAAAATAAATTGTTGCAAAAAAACATAAATACCCCACAACAGAAATTACTACAATTTGGCACAAATATTCAAACCTAAATTTCAAAGCATATTCATAAGTTACTACCTATACAATGAACGATATAACGACATACATATTAATTTGCATTCAAAAATTTACACTTCAATTTGAGTTATCAAATCATATTTTCATTTCTCTATCCTATTGTGGTGTGTGGATTTCCACCCATCTGTATTTTGTTATGCACAGTCTGATGGATTAATGTAAAATTTTGTTCCATTTAAAAAATATGTGTGGATAGCATATTCAAACATCACAAAACAGTACAATTAAATTAAAAATTTGAATTCTAATTAATTTATTGTTTTAGAAGTTTAGATTTAAAAAAATCAAGAGAAGAAAAATGCCACTTTAAATAGTGGCATCCTTAATAAAGATTTCAAATCTATGAAAGACAAAATATTTGTGCTTGCTTCTGCATGTTGCAACTCTTTTCTCTATTACTTTGTATAACCAACCAATTTCTCCATTTAAAAAAGAGTACACATCTCTCTAAAGCATGATAAGGAAAATAAGAGAACCAAAGTTGCTGAGAAAAGGAAATAAGAGTGATACTGCTAAAAACATAAAACAGAGAGAGAGATCCCAAGAAGCAAACTACAACTCCTAGTTTAAAAAATGGTGCAGTAGCAGTCTGTGTGCAGCTTCTACAGTCCAAGCGCAGAAGCCACCAAAAAATCTCCAATTTAAAGTTGTGTCTTTCTCATCTACTAAAGTATCCAGAGTCACCTTGCATCTTCCAAAACAATCAGAAAGCATTCTTCAAAACAAAGCAAATCCGAAAGCTACGGCCAAATAATGCTTCTTTTCTTGTGGTATCACAGTGAAGTTGTCAGTCCTAAATTGAGTAAAATCATCTTTAGTCGCATGCTATAATTTGTTAAACATCTGTACTTTTAAAGACAAAGAGACAAAGAGACATGACTTAGCCACTCAAGTAATTACTTATCCTAGAGTCATTATCACAAAGAGGCATTTCCCTATTGCTCATTGTATCTCCAAACCAAAAGCATCCCTACCCAAGCATTTTTCAACATCGCACACTGAGTGTGAAGATTTAATGACTTGAAAGTGGTAGCAACTTAATTTACTTGATTCAATATTTCCATTGCTTGTATTTTGGGTAATCAAGAAACAATATGCACCAGTGCAACTTAATATTATGTACTTGACAATATCAGAAGTGGCCTTGTAACCTTGTTCTATGTTCTAACAGTGAGGTCTACTACAAAAACATCCACAATGAGAACTCTAAAAGACATTCACTTGACAGAAATACCCCTTTGTTCCACACTCCAAGCTCATTTAAGTGTATAATAACCTAACATGATATAAATGTTGAAACCACTTAAGACAAACTCAAATCATTAGATTAGCCTGAAGACATCAATTAAACTAATTGAAGTAGATAAAATTATAAATAATAGTCCTTTTGCAGCATAAAAATAAAATGTCAAAAGACATTAGTTACCTTTAACTGTGGTCTTTCACAATAAACTGTCTTCACTTCTTAGAGATCAGAAAAGTCTTTTCGGCCTATGTTATTGTCAATACAAAGTCTGCAAATGCTACAAATTAAATTATGATTTTCGGCGAAGATATATATCCAAAATTACTGATGAAAGACTTTCTTAGAAAAGGGGAGTAATTAAAAAACAAATCTTTAGACATAAACTTTTATACAGCACCTTATCTTCATTTTTTTGTGCAACTAATCTTTCTCCCAAATGTTCCCAAAATGACCTGCATTAATAAGATAAATTACAGACAATAAAAGGTTCAAAAATTCATCGTAGCATTTTTTTTGCTAATCATCACGTGTTTTGCATATTATTACTATGAAGGAGTAACTTAATAGATCCCTACTACTACACATTCGAAGCATATTTATAGCACACAATGCCTTTGTGTGGTCTGTTTTCCATTTTAAAGAAATATTTATCTTTAAGACATATGTAGTAAACTTTAATGCAGTAACTGAATACAATAGTAAGAAAAATATTGACAGACATTTGTAAACTTGAGTATAAAAACCCTTAAAGAAAAGAAAAATATATTATGGAATATATTGTGTACTACATCTAAATCTAAAATGAAACTAAGAGATGATATTGGTGACGATTAGAATTTCTGGTTTGAATTTAAGCATCTTCATATAGAAAAGCAATCAAGAAAGGTAATCAAGTCAGGCTCTTAAAACTTGCAAGAGATATATGTAAAAAATCCCAACATAATTCAAACATGTTTACAAAATGAAATTACATAATGAATGATCTACGACATAGTAAATAAAATTAAAAAAACTTAAACAGAGTAAGACCTCTTTTCCCGCTTGCATCAGGTCAAGGAGACAACTACAATCTGCCTAAAACCATAGATACAGACTCAAGCTTAAATTCCAAATGCCACACCCCTTTGAGAATGCCAAGGACTCTTGCATCAATTTTGCTCAATTGTATTTAGATGAGTAAGGGGTGGGGGTAGAATTTGAAAAGCATGCTATTGAAATTATGGTTGGGAAAATGGAGAAGTCAAGATTTCTAAGGACCAACCTCTATTAATTTTTCTTCCTTTTCTCTTTGGATTGCAAATTCTTCCCATAAGTCACCCTGGTGAAGGACATCATTCATCCTCCAATTACCGTCTTCACCCCATTCTAAATCAGAGAGACAGAAATCATATCACTGTAACTTACCCCATACCAAAATCAAGTGAAGATTCAACATCATTTTGATCACAGGGGAGTACTAAAGTTTGAAGTTGATTCACTTCTTCTTGAGCCCTGAAACTTTTTATTGGATATGTAAAGTGAATAATTTATTCCTGAAAAATAAAAAATAATTTGGTGTGATTCACAATATTTCCCTCAATTTCAAATACTACGGAGTGAATCTCAAGTACACCATTTACGGAATTTTAATATTGTTGCACATACGAAGGAGGCAATTTTAATTGGACAACGGGTGGTAAGCATAAGAGGGACTCAATAGACAACTCTCTTTCCAAAGGAGCAATGTCCTTCATCAACTTAATTGCCAGCTAAAACAGCTCACTATATCAATCTTAACTCTTAGCATCGTAGTTTACAAATGACAATCACATTCAAGTTTGGTCTAAGTAAAAATAAAGTAAAAAGAATCAAGAACAAAGCAATGAATACTAAAGGCTATAGTGTTCTACTCCCTCCGTCCCAAAATCTCTTTCTCCTTTCTTTTTTGACAAATGGGAAATAGAGAGCATCAGAATAAAGGGTAGCTACACCCTTCTACATTATTTATGGAAAAATTAAACAATTCAACACAAAACTAAACCTAAACTTTTCTAGTATGTAGTTCAAAGATTCAATAGAGCAAGAGTGTATTGAAAATATTTTACCTTAGGATAAGATTAGGACTAAATCAAAGGCAGTTATGAGCCACAACCTTCTAATGAATCTGAAAAAATTGAATTCAAAATCAATAATTATTTGAAAACCTAGATTTAATAAAAATGAATCTAAAATGGATTCAAGAAAGGAAAGTATACCCGTTGAAGAAATATCAGAAAGGATAAAACACATGTCTACATGATTTGCCAATGATTTTATAGAAAACAAAATCATCTTTTATACCTTACTAAAAAGACATATTGCAGGGAGTTGAGTAGGCATTGATGTATTCCATTCCTCTTACTTCTTTTGCTTGGCACTTAGAGGCTTCACCTTCACCGTTCTTCTTGAGAGAAGTAAAAGACATTTAGTTCATTATAACTTAAAAGCCAAGTAGCAATACATACTGTGATGGGATAAAGATCAACCTTAAATAAAAAAATCTACATGATAGATTCATTGCCCTCAAATTTGAAAAGTAGCAGTAAATAAGGCATATATATTGTGTATGTCAATTTAATATAAATAAAACTTTAATACCTCTTGAAACCTAAGTTATTGGTCTCATTGTTTGATGTATAGATCCCGTTAAGAAGCATCATCAATATGGATCCCATCAAGAGCCTCCACAATACTCCCTCCAAGAATCCGTCCATCGCCAATCCTCCTATATGTTTCCTATGTGCTTTAGGCATCTATCTGTGAAGCCTGCAATCTGCGTGAAATAATGGGTGAAATAGTGTGAGGTTGGGGAGTAAATAATATGCACGAAGGGTGTCGCAACCGCTTAATTGTTTAGGTAGGAACGATTTTCTAGGCGCTATTGTAATGACCTTTAATCTAATTAATTGATTAGTTAACCAACTGTTGAAGAACATCCTGACATTACACTTTAGAATCATAAATAAAATCTTTTACTAATATATTAAAGTGCCACCACAAAGGGATGGAAACTTCTTATTAGGCTAGCTTTATACTTGGCCTTGAAGTGCATTAACCAAGGTTTGAATGATGCATCTACTGGCTTCACTTTCAAGGAAATGAACAATTTATAATCCTACAGTGAGGGTGAAAGTTAAGGATCACAGTATATTCAAAAATTACATGTATATACAATGAAAAGTGGACATATTTGCACCTAAAATCTATACTTAATTCAACTTGAAAAATCATGTATACAGAGCATATTCAAACATCACAACTCTATAAAATTAAATCTGAAAAATGCCTTCTAATTCATTGGTTGTTTAAGAAGTCCAAATTTTAAAAAATGGATTCCAGAGAAGGAAAATACCACTTTTAAGTGGTGTTGTTGGAGTTATTGAAGTATGATGTTGTTGACCTATGGCAAGAATCCAAAGACAGGAATTATAGGAAAAGAGGAAGAGATTGGAAGATCTTGCCATACATATACGAAATTTTAATAAACGAAAGAAAAGGGTGTTACCTTTGTCCCTGAATCCCTGCCCTGTGATGCATCTAGTCCATAACTGCTGTCGGATTTTATGGTCGAATGCATTAGAGTCAAACCCTCACCTGGTGCTGCCATCCATACTCTTTGCGTTGTCTTCCTTCTGGCGGTAGCGGGCTGCTCTGGGAGAGAGGGTAGCAGGATGAGAATCGGAAGCACCAGGATCAGGCAAAAATGAAATTGATTGCGAGATGAGAATCGGAAGAAAAATTTGACTGTGTGTTGCAGACCTGAGAGAGGGTATTTCTCTGATTAGATAGAAATAGGTGAAAAAAGAAATTGACTGCGAGATAGTAACGTGCAGATATTTGCTTGAGATCGTGCAAAAAACTTATACCGACGGTTGATGCAGCATTTGAGCGGGATTTTTTTCCTGCTGTGGAGGATAATAGATATTAATGCATGAAAAAAAAAAATTGAATGAGAGATGATTAACTTCCTCCATTTTCATTTACATCTTCATGCATGTGAACTTCGTTGATAATATTGTAAGATATGGAGAAAGAAAACACAAATTTATACAACTAAGATTGTGATAAAGACCATGAGGATGTGCACTAGAGCAGTGGGGAGATTTGTGACAATAAATATCAAGGTGCAGGGGTATTAATCAAAGCAGAAAAAAGTATGTCCAAAGTGCAAAAAACTAATAAGATTGAGGCTCAAGTACAACCACAATAAGACAAATATAATTTCAAATTTATAACTATTTGTAATTTTTAAAAATAGTTTGTACATTGACCAAAATGGGCAAATGGCTATTATGAGCATGAATGGTACTCATAGTATTTTTATTTAATAGTTTATTTATGAAATGAAGAATTTTTTATTTTTAAAAAAACATTTCTTCTTAAGAAAAATCATAAAGGAAATACTTCCTCCGTCGCTAAATAAACTTCCTTGTTTGACTTTTTGAAAATTTAAGAGAAGGATATTTTTGTGTTGACTTTCCAAAAATACCCTTGATGTGATGTTACGTTGCAACTCAATTGATTTATGCAGTATTCATTATAAATAATATATTTGTCATTATACTTTATATATTACAAGATTTTGTTTTAAATATCAGACATGTCACATAATCTAATCAAGCCTATTTTTTTCTTTCATGATTGACATTTTATTTTCATTGAAGTCTTATTTTTGGAATAAATACATAGAACTTTTTTTACATTTTTATGTTTTACTCATATTTTATTTTTTTTCTCTAAACTATTTTGACTAACAATTTTTATAACGATTAGAAAAATGAGCAAATTTTAAGTAATAAAGGGAAAGGTGAGAGGTCTTATATAAATTCAGATTAATAAAACATTCTATGTCACTAATTTATCCATAAATTTTATATAAATACTCCGAGATTTAATAAATGATATCCATGCTCCGAGAATTTTTGTATCTTTACATCAGTACTCCAACATTGAAATACGTTTCCATCGGTGCCCCAACATTTAGAGCATTGATATAAACATAAATGAATTCTAAGAGCAGTGATGTAAACATATGTAAATTTTGGGAGTATTGATGTCATTAATTGAATATCGGAGTATTTATATAAAATTGTGTAATTTTGGGAGTAATGATGTGAATTTTTCAATAAATTTTTAATATAGTTTAATATATTGATGTTTTCCTGTTTTATCATGTAAATTAATACACAAAAAATTGTCTTATTCAAATTAAAAAGTTGAAGAAAAAAATAATGAATGTGAATTGTAAAAATAGTGAGATGAAAAAAATAATTTATAAGATATAATTATGAACATAGCAGTTGTAATAATAATGATAATAATAATAATAAACACATTAAAAATATATTGTTTTTAGAGGAATTGATTGGAGAGTAGAAAGAGTTTGAAGAAAATGAAAATAGTTGGAAGAAACTGAAAGGAATTAGAAAAACGGGAAGAAACTAAAAGAAATTAAAAAAAAAAAGTTAATTCCATTGATTAAAAAAAATGTATAACGCCACACGACTTCAATTCGGTGCTGCTGGCGATAGATTGAAGAGGAACTTCGGTGCTGCTGGCGACGGATTGCAGCTAAGCCCCAGTCGTCGGACGATCACTACACCCTCTACTTCGATGCTGCTGGCGACGGATTGCAGCTAAGCCCAGCGGCCCAGGTTTTTACATACCATTATTTTTGAGTTTATGAATTAGGTTAAATGACATCTCCAATTTTTGAAGTGCATTCCTATAAAATTTGTAGTGTTCAAAATTTTGAAGTGAATTCATTGAAATTTTCAGTTCGAAATTTCAGTGAATTTTACGTTAGAAATCACATCTTCAATTTCAAAGTATTTTTACATCTCCAATTTCAATATATTTTAATGTTAGAAATTATGCCCACCAAGTGTTTGATGAAATGCCAAACTTAACAAGAAGTTTTATACCCTGTTATATTTTTTACCCTATGAGGCTTTGGACTGGTTTTGTTTCACATTGCAGCTGAATTTGTTTTTTTTTGTTTTTTTGAGAAGCCTATAATTAGTGCTAGACTCGTAGGGTTTAAAAAACTCCGAGCAAAGCATCCTTGCCTTTGCCACCTGGGTGATTTAAAATCAGAAGCAGCGAGGTACAAAGTACAATGGCAGCTGCTTTTGAACTGAAAGGAAAAAGCACTGAATATTCATTTTTTTTACAATTGAACTGACACAGATGTGTGACACAATTTAAGCAGTGTGAAGATAGTTTATCAAATTCATTAGCTTAGAATGGGAGAAAATCATGAATACCAAACACACAATGATTTGCATCTCTAAGCCTTGTATATATCATGTACTAATATAGCAAACCAGTCTCACCATTATTACTTGCCAATTATAAGGTCAAACCAGAGTACTTAAGAGGACTAGGTTTTGGGATCAACTACTCTACAGCCTCAAAAGCCTTTTCCAGACTAAACTCGCCAGAGTCCGAAATCTGAATCCATCCCTAGATGAGCAATGGAGCTGCCTAATGAGCTTAACTCTTTTTCATGTGTAAACTCTATAAATCTTTTTCATGTAATGGAATCTATCAATATCTCCCCAAACTCTCTTCCCTTGAAATATTTATGTCTCATATAACCTGCCCATGGCCCTTCATGGAACTGAACTTTCAACCCAAGTTTACAAGAATAGGCTTCTTGTACTTCATCAAGCTTCTCTATCCCCCGTCTACCCTGCTCTTTAGGCTTAGTCAATTTCTCCCAAGCCCTCCAATGGTTCTTTTTCAGATTTCCTGATGTAATATTAAGACCTTTTTTTATATATGGACGGGATGGATACAGAGACACACCATGTGAGATTGAACTCAAATGGTAAGTTTAAAGTATGATTATAAATTAAGGCCCATAAGGCCCATTATTATTTTCATATCTCTCTTTTATTTAAATACTCACATTATTTTTGTGAGAGAGAGATTCGGCTATTGATTGTGATAGAAGTGTTCAAATTTTCTATACATGGCATATGTGATGATGGCTTGCATGGTTGTCACTAATATTTTCATCATACCCAAAATATCTGATCAACAGTGCACTTTTGTAATGAACTATAAATTGTTCATTAGTGTAACATGTTCATTACATTTCTTAAGTTTATTTGCACCATGTGTCTCAATTTCATTGTCACCACTATAAGATCAAGGGAATCTAATAGCCTTTTGGCATTCTTTATCATCCATTGTTGAAGTCCCACACGCGGACACATATAAGCAAGGCATAATCAACATCTCAGGCATGCTTCTATTTAAAGACTTAACACCCGATGTTTTTTTGTAAATATTAACTATATATTGTGTTGCCCAACAATTTTAACCAAAAAATGGGATAGACATTTGTGAGTTCCCATTTGCGTTTCTCTCATTAGCAAAGGGATCTCTTCGACCTGAGTTACTTTGAGTGTTCACTAAAGTTATTTATCATTTTGGTCCCAATATTTTGTCTTTGTAGATTTAAATTTTAGATTTCATTTTATGTATGTGGCATGCCATTGCAGATAATTGCCATGAAATGCTCAAGGAACTGAAAACTCCTTAGAAATCCCATGATCATAAATAAATTGGTGGTGGTGTTGATTAATTCTTCATCCATATCAGGTGAACTAATGTCACCTAGGATAAATTTTGGAAAAGGTCTAATAATGAAACTAGGTAATTTATTTGATACTTTCTCTACTTATGCTAAAAATGAAATACATGAATGTTGCTTAGCTTAGTAAGTATCCACTGACAAAATTTCTTATGTTTGCATCGCCTCTTCCATTTGTCTCTGATGTGTGTGCATCTCACTCTCTCTGTATCATGTGGAAAGGATGGATCAAGCATATGACCTTACAGGCATTGTGCGTATCAAACCACATACCTCAAAATACCATTTAAGTTGGTTTTAGTATATATCTTTCTTTCTTGCAAATGGTGATGATTTGAAGGGAAACAGTACCATTCATACAGTAAAATCAGTAAAAAAAACTGTGTTCCTACTTTGTTTTTACATATAATTAGAACATACAAAGTATTTTTTTCCCTTCATTATTAAATGTTGGTTCAAACAAGCAGTATCAACAATTGATTTTTTTACCAGGTAAAATTGAAAGGAAAAACTTATTCATTGTTTGTGAGATTATACGATACACTTATAATCAATTCACAAAAAACCACATCACATAAACTTACTACTCTCTTCGTCCCATTTTAAGTTGCTTGTTGTTGTTTACGATGTTTAACTGATGTTATTTTCTAATGAATTAAAATGAAAATTGAGTTAAATTTTTTTATATATTTAAAAATTATACCAAAAGCTGTACAGAACAAGAGGTGACATGACTACTACATTGTCGTTTGAGTAACAAAAATGATTAAAGAAAATGTTCAAAATTTGACCATGTGAATATTAAACAAGAAACTTAAATTGGGAGAGGAGTACTTACTACACCTAGCTAAAATTTTGAGCAACTTTTTTCATTGTAGCTTTCATATCCTAAATTAGGTCTTCACTATTTGCCTCTTTGGCCTTGTGATAATCTCCAATGCACATGAACCGTTCATTGTAATATAAGATATCAAACCATAAGGCATCCAAGATGCACAAGTAGTCATAAACACACACTCACAAGGTATCAGGTATGACATTAAATCACTTGATGTAATTTACATACTTTTATTTTATTATTTTTTTCGGAATACAGATTAAATAAAAAAATGTTTTTTACTTTGTTTTTTAAGTTAAAGACATAGATACTCCGTACTAAATTGCAATATAAATTGGAGTTTTATTTATTTCGTTATTTATTTACGGCATCCCAAAATGAACATCTCAATTTCCTTTTTGAGATGCCCCAAAATGATCTTATTGCTTTTCAAGAAAGATTTGTGTGGTTCATGTTATTTCATTCTCCATTGTAGACACTTTAGACACAAATGCAATATCATTTTTATAAAACTTCGTGTCATTTATATTACGGTTATCGGCGGTGACTTATATACCAATTTTGTGTTATTCAATGTTTTTTGTAATTCTAATGCTCATATTGGTCCTTTGATAAATGAGATTACTCAACCAATTTATCTAAGATGTGATGCACATCTTTTTATATGACAGACAAAAAAGGTAATGCGGAACATTATTTTGGAACAGAGGAGTACAATATTTTATACCACTGTTTCCTCTTTTGATTCTCTTACAAATATGTAGAAAGGATGTGGACGGGATAATTTATAGTAAAGTAGGGGGGTTCTTGTTCAATCTAAAAAATTTCATATGCACATATTACCTTATTGTCCTTATGTTCCTTTTATTTACATTCCTGCTTGCTTTGAGTTTAAATCGCCCAATACTACTATGAATCTCATGTTGTTTTGTATCGTCAATGATGTTGGGTTAGTCAAAGTCTTTCTATAGAGGTCTTATTATTTTGCCCTCATGGTTTTCTTTATTTAGTCTGACACTCAAGATGGTTATGGAAGTTTTGGAACCACAGTCCTATTTTAAAAGTTAAATATATGCATAATTAATTCACTTGTATGCAACCTCTTGACATGTTTATTTTAAATTAATACACAATGTAATTAATTGAATTTATTGGTTAAGTATTACATTATATTATTTTGTCACAAAAAAATTAGAATCCTACACTTTGAACAATTCAGAACAAACACACAAAACAAAAACACAAGACATGATCATAAAACTATTTAACACTAAATTTTAATCGGGCACTTGAATCCGCGCATCGCGCGGAGCAATGCAAATATGTATGTATGTATGTATGTATGTATGTATGTATGTATGTATGTATGTATGTATGTATGTATGTATGTATGTATGTATGTATGTATGTATGTATGTATGTATGTATGTATGTATGTATGTATGTATGTATGTATGTATGTATGTATGTATGTATGTATGTATGTATGTATGTATGTATGTATGTAGGTATGTATGTATGTATGTATGTATGTATGTATGTATGTATGTATGTATGTATGTATGTATGTATGTATGTATGTATGTATGTATGTATGTATGTATGTATGTATGTATGTATGTATGTATGTATGTATGTATGTATGTATGTATGTATGTATGTATGTATGTATGTATGCATGCATGCATGCATGCATGCATGCATGGATGTATGTATGTATGTATGTATGTTACTAGAAATAAAGAGAGTTCAAAGATTACAACCTAGGGAAAGCACACCTTGGTCTATAACCCAAACTCATAGCCCAAAATGCTTATGAAAGGTGCCCTTTACTTTATATTTCCTGCTTATAAAGTGTTTTAAACGGTTTAGTGCAATGTTGGGTATTTTTGTATGTAGTCCAATATCCTATTCCCCAAGAATTTCCACTAGCCCTTTATCCAAGTTCAACGTTGCTAATTCTGTCTATGTTTTAGGGTTTTGAATTTAGATTTTAATGCCTTCTGCTTCTGTCGATGTCAATGATGGGGGAGATGATGCTAGTGTATCATTCCCCCGTGGTGGTCCAGTTTATGTTCCCGACATGGTTAGTGCACTCATGAAGGTTTCAGATTTTGAACTCTCTGCATTCAATGAGCTTAAGGTATGCAGCTTCCTTAGGATTCTACGGAGTAGTATGTAAAGTGTACTTCAGTCTCATTTTTTCCTTTTGATACTTTTGATGATGCCATGTTTCAAGAATTTTCATATATTTGCTGCAGAATCTTAGGGAAGAAGTTTGCTTTGACTCCCTCGAAATGTATGATGACGAAATCTCGTAAGTTTTTTTTTTCTTTTACCTTTTTTTTGATTTCTTCATCCAATCCCAATTCATATCTAGGGCTTTTGTGTTGGAAAAGAAGTTGTTAGAGCCGTCCTTTTGTTCAGTCTATTCCTTCCATGTCGATGACTTTGGATTGAGCCCGTTCAATTCTTCTAGGGTAGAAGAACTCAAAATTGAAAACGAGGAAAATCTGGTAAACATGGCATTTGAAGAAGCATTCAAGGTAGAAATACCAAATTTGTAAGAATGTCACGTTTATATTCGGATTTCAGCTAGCTTGATAAGTTCACCCCTAATAATGCAGGATGATGAGAGAGAAGCACACGTATCATCTTCCCATGAATCGTCTCATATGATTCCTCTTAGATCGTGCAAGAATGGAAAATTAAAGGAAAAAGGTTCCAGTAAGAGGAAGCACAACCACGTTGAAGTATGCACTTAAATGACTTAATTTCTTCTTTCTTCTATGCTTTAGTCATAATCTGCCCACACTGCTTCCCACACATATACTGATTTATGTCTGAGTCACTCTGAGACTAATGAATGAATTTCCTTATAGTTTGCACTCTATGTTTAGTTGTTATGTTGTTTTATTTGTTCATATTACATGTAAATTTTTAAGAATGTAATGTTTGTATTTGGCTAGCTTGATAACTTGATAAGTTCACCCCTCGTAATGGCAGGATGATGAGAGAGAAGCACACATATCAACTTCCCATGATTCGTCACATTCGATTCCACCTCTTAGATCCTGCAAAAATGGAAAATCAAAGAAAAACAATTCGAGTAAGAGGAAGCACAATTGCGTTGAAGTATGCACTTAAATGACTTAATTTTTTCTCTCTTCTATGCTTTAGTAATAGTGTTCTATTTACTAAATTCTCCCCATCCGCCCATGCCGCTTCCCACATATATACTGATCAATGTCTGGGACTAACAGAGTAAGGAGTAATTTTCTTGTAGTTAGTTGTTTGCACTTTATGTTTAGTAGTTATGCAGTTTTACTTATTCATATCATAGCAAGTATTCGTCATTTTAGAGGACTAGGTCGTGGTTCCTAATTTTATGGTTAGTTACATAGAGTTCCTTGCCATTAAACCTGTTGTTTTGCTTTTGAATGAAATGTCAGAATTTTCTGTTGTATCCCCTAGTACTACACCTGATCCTCAAATCCTTAAACAAATCAGTGGAATCATGTCTAAGCGTTACGATCCTTTCTGGAATGAATTCTCCAACCCCAAACCATATTACTTAACCCTGACAACCTTGAGCCTATCTCCATCCTAAAAAGAGCCGTATACCCTGCCCAGACTACCCCACTCCCTACTTGAGTCACTCCATCAAAATAACACATTTTGTGCCAAAAAAAAACCATATCACACAATAAGTCAATTTCCTTTTTCATTTCCCTAAGCTAGGGCCGAAACACACCAAGCCAAACAACCATATTTCATCACCCAACATCCCACAAACATTGTCCCCACCTTGTCCCCTAGTACAACCGAAATAACAAGCACAACAAGCCAAGGGATATTTGTGATTACTTTGACCTTTAAACCACCATAAAAGCCACCCTATAAAATCCATATTTCTCACACCCCACTGTTCCCCACTAAGGTCGAATGAATCACTCCCCAACCACCAAATATTCACCTCACTAGCCAAGCCAAAATACCCAACACATCACCCATCCATTTTGCCCTCTAATATGGCNTTGTATGAGTGCCTTTAAATTTCGGCCATAGGCCTATTGTAATGCTCAGATTTTTATTTCTTCATTTCAAGATAGAAATACACTGGTTGTATTCTGTTTTCAAATCCTAATTTCTATATCTTAAGGTTGGTTTCCTTAAGTGTGAGTGTTAGGTTCTAGTTATTTAATTGAGTGTGTAATATCTTAATTAAATTCTAGACTCAAACCCCAAGTGAGGATAAGAGTGTGTTATATCTCTTAAAACCTACTTGGTTTTTATCCCTTTCCCCTCTTATTTTCCCTTCCAAAATTTCGGCCCTCCTAAAAAGCACAACCAGTATCCCCCTTTTTCTCCCCTATTCTTATGCCTTTAAACCATCTTAAAAATCAACCCTTCATCCTCCTCCATATACTCGACCAGTCCACTCCCCTCCCTTTCCAAACCCAAGCTTAAATATATCATTTTCCATATTCATTAGAATGGACGTTAGACTCAATAAAGTCTCCTGTTTATTTTTTTAGCCTCCTTTTAGTTTTCCTGCACTCTTCCACATACTGCTTCATCTCTGCGTGTCAGTGCCGCAGAGTTATGAATGGTGTTTGCCTCTCTCGCCTGATCTAAGTTTGGTCGCCTGTAGAAGGGCAGGGCGGGCAACATGCATGAGGCAACTCCAGGCATTCGTCTCTCTGGCCGAGTTCCGGGCGCAAGGCTTTGGCCTTCCACGCCTTCTGTAAAATTGCAGTGCGCCAGTCATTGTTTTTAAAAATATGTTGCGGCTTTGAAAAGAAGGATCAAGCACCTTCTAAAGGGTGACCACACGACTCCTAGGAAGAGCAACTTTAGTCTTCGGCAACTGTGTGCAAGCATCTTTTTTGTACTTCTCAGGATTGCAGGTTTTAGTTTTTGTCACTCTTCATTTTTTTCTAGTGCGTTTCTCACTTGGTTTTTTTAGTGGTACATTTTCTCAGTTTGGTTTTATTCACTTTTTTTTATTCTTAAAAACCCAGTTGCTTCCTAACTGGTTGTCAATTTGTTTTTTGTTTGTATATTACAGTATTTCCATGGTTTTTTTGTTTGTTAATATTATTAGGATATTTATTGCAGTAAGAATTCACTATTATATTTATTCATATTCAAAGTGTCTAGTATATGTGTCTCAAAAAGGCTTGTTCGCCGTTTGGCTGTCCGCCTCTGGCCTTGAAAATCTACAACTCGCCCGCCTCGTGCCTTTCATAACTATCACTGCCATCACTTCCATCATAGCTAGCATCAACCTAGTTACTCCTTCAACCATATCCTCAGTATGACATACACACACAGATGTGGAAATTCCCTCAAATTCAGCTACATGAAAGGTGAAGAGGTGTTCAAGCTAAGAGAAAGAGAAGAAAAGGAATAAACACTGGGTAGAAACTTGACTTGCTGCACTCCCTTGTTATCTGATTGTGTACATGTTATTTCTTTTTTGCTTATTCATTTTGGGGCCAAATTGTGATCATTCATGTGATTGCAACATACTCTTTCATATATAGGAAAGTTATGTTGCTAAGGTTGAAGAAATTGCACGAATTAAGCATAAACAAGTCGAAGATAAAGCAGCAGTGAGATTGCATTCCTTCAAGTGAGTATCTTTTGAGTTTAAGTTGATGAGCTATTACTCAATGGTCGAAGTGTCTCTGGTATTGTGTGTATTGATAATTGTTAACTTCTTGTTTGTATTGTGTGTTTCAGTGGCAGTTGCGGGATTGACTCCACACCAAAACCATTAGAGATAAGTGATAGGTTAACATCACTGAAGTCCGTAAGCTCAGCTAGAAAGGTTTGTTTCGAAAAGCCTTTAACCTTTGTGTTTCTGGTATTGAATTCTTGATTTCTCATTCCATGTCACAGCAGTGAGATACAAGGGATGATCGAACTTTTAGGCCCACTCCACTACTATTTAATTTATTCCTACCTTACAGCTTTTCTAATGTTTCATGTGACGTTCAAGGTATGCCACATGAAGTCATCAAGTTCAAGTGAACATGTGCCAGTTCAGTTCCCAGAAGTTGTTTTATGCGTGGAGGTTTACCGCAGCAGAAAGCCATTGATGAAGGTAACATGTGGTCGAACAATATTTCTGTTCCTGAATGTACCAATTCCTAAGGGGACATTTAATAATACTAGTATTTATTTTTACCAATAATTGAATTTTCTTTTTTGAGTACTACTGACTCTATTACAATGTAGTGTCTATTCATACATACTTTCTCAATCTAAAGCAGAGAGAATCAACGCCCCCTTGGGGTTCGGACCCGTGACCTCCCATTTGGGCGAGCCACAGTTCTATGGGGTTCGAACCTCGACCACAAGGTCTTTGGTAATAATTGATGTTCTAATAATGTTTAGTTGGATAAACATTTGATTTTCACCCATGCAATTCCAAACCCTATCCATCAATTGATGCTAAAAAGATGAATCTTAAGAAAGAGATACAAAAAAGACAAAATCTGGCTCCCTTAAATGAATCAATTAGGGAAGAGAGTCTTGAACCGATAAATGAAGCCAACAACTATGTCCATCCTAACAGAATCCATGGCCTTTGTGGTTGTTTCGTCGCCCAGAAGTCAACCTTCCATGGCCAAACCTACGGTTGAAACTTTAGGAAGCGCATCTAATTTCTTATCCGGTGTCAAAATGAATGTTATGAATGATGAGAGGAGTTTCTGACTGTCTCTCTCCACTTTCCAGACGGGATGATTGATTGTTACAGGCATGGGAACTCTTCACAACGGAGAAGAGAGCTCCGAGGCTCAATAACAGAAAAGAAAGAGAGAGAACGAGATAACAGAGAAGAGAGAGATGTGTAAAAGAGATGAAAGATATCTAATATTCTTCCTACTGATTCAATCATAGCCGGTATGAACCTCTGTGCACTTCTGGAACTGAACTGAAAGATTTAATCGAGGAAAGCAAAGACAGATTTAAATGATGTGATGCCTTGTTGGTGTTGAATAGAGGCTTAACCATCGCTCTTCTATTACATGGACAACATTTTCTTCCCAACTCCTAGAGCCTGTAATAGCTTTTGATAAGGTGTCTGGCTTGGAGGTCTTCACAACTGTCCTCAGATGTGGTTTAAGTTCTCCTATGGAAATTTCCAGGGAATCAGCTGAAGTACTAGAGTCTTCCTCCAAGAATAGGCACTCAGTTTCTCAACCCTACCAATGTAATCCTTCAAACTTCCTGGCTCTTGAACCTTGTCAAATTCCTTAATAATTTTCAATTCACGCTCTGTGCTGAATTTATCACATAGGTCTACCACAAAGTCTTCCGGAATGATGTTGGGTCTGCCTATAGCATAGCTATTAAACCAGACTCCAGCGTTCCCAATCATATGTACTGAAGCCAATTTCACTTTCTTCTCATCCAAAATTTGACACAGCTCAAAGCATTTAACACACTTCTTAATCCAAATTCATGCATTATTTCCTTCAAATTGGGGAAATTCTTGAATCAACTTGGAATTGAAATTAGGTTGTCCGCGATTACCTCCATCTCTGTATTCCTGATCGTTCTCCATAGATGCAAACGATCCTTGACTCACCATCGTCTTCATCTGTTCAATTTCTGAATCAAGGGCTCTTCTTTGGACTCTCTCTTCTATCTGTTTAATCATCTGACCAAACAAATTTTGTTGTATGTCAAGCTTCCAGTTCTGTTGCTCCATTTTAATCGCAATCCCCTTCTGTTGTTCCATCAGTGCCTTCACAATTTTTTTCGATTGATGCCATCCTTGCAATCGTCTTCCTTCTCGCGCTATCAGCACTGCTTTGCTTTGCGATCTACAGTCCCTTCCTAGAACGAGCTGCTCTATCAATGTTACGGGTGTGGGAACTTTTCACAATGGAGAAGAGAGCTCCAAGGCTCAATAACAGAGATGACAGAGAAGAGAGAGATGTATAAAAGGTATCTGATATTCTTCTAACTGACTCTATAGAGTTCCAGCCTTATATAGGCACACCTCTACACGCACAGTCGCAACAACTCACACACTTACAATAAGTAAAATAACAACATAGGGTTAAAAAATAGAGTGAGGTAAAATAGTAATTGGCCAAGGCCTGCATCATTGATGGAGATGATTTAAGTGGTTGTCTTTCACTGATGCGTTTAGGCGTTCTCTCTCTACTTTTCAGGCAAAAGATCTGAGCAGCGTAGCGTGCCTCATGCGCTCACATACGGAACTCTAGTGAAATTTTTGGGCGAGACTGCTGTAGCAAAAAACATTTTCGCTTTATATATAGTTAGATTCCCTCTTAGTCCCAGGGAAATCCTTAATTTTGTAACTTGCATGCAAATGTCTTTTAGAAGAAGATAAAGTTTATTTGGTGATCTTGGATTTGGAAACCAAGTGTGTGTTATCTTGAGGTGAGTAGTGGTCTTGCCACTGAGTAACATGG